ACGTCGGTTCGAATCCGACCGGATCGAAGGAATTTTTTCTGAGTGTTCGATCTTTGTATTAATAATTATAAAAAATATTCTTTTAAAATAAATTATGTCTTGTCGTTTTGAAGACTGAGTAAAATAACATATGTAGCGTTGCTAGTTTTCATAATATTTGAAATAGTTATGTAGCTGTTGTCGATAGTTTTATCGATAGATGGTCAAAGAAGATAAAATTTTACCAAAAATTACTAATTGCGTTATGGCCTTCTTTATTCTTGTTTTGACAGTTGGCCTACTAGTATGGCGATAATTTTTTTTATTCATATACATTTTTACAGGAATAGCCGTATTTGATTGTCTATATTGAATTAAAATTAAAAACTTTGAAATATGTCTCCTCTTTGAATCTTTCATAAACATAGTTCTAAATACAGTGTATGTATTTACTTACAAAAAATGACAGCTTAAATGAACGTGTACTCAATAATAGATGAATAATGTGTCGAGGATGATTCAAATGAAACAAGTTCGGCTATTTATTCCATAAGCGTGATGATATTCAGTCAGAATATTTATCGACTGCAATCAGTAGCAAGTTGCGAGCGGGCAACACTTTTGGGCAGTGTTATTTTACTCCGTTCTAAAAACTAATTAAAACTTTGCTACGTACTCTGGTGAAAAATTATAATAATTGTTGCGTGATTTGCATTGTGATTGCATTTTTTACGTATCTATTGGGGAATCGGACACCTTTAAAAAATTTTTAAATTATCTGTAATGGATAATTAGCCAAGAGACAATACATAGACAGAACATAATATGTTCTGACATATTATGTCAATTCAGAACATGTGACGTCATTGGTAGTTAAAGTTGCCACTTCAAATAAAAAGAAAATATAAGGAGAAATATTTGTATGGCCTACATTTATTACTCTCTTGAGTTTGGGTGTAATGTGTGGTTGTCTATGTGTGTGTCCATGGCACTCGCGACCCAGGGTATGAGTGTATGCGTTGTTTGGTTGCTTTTTGTTAGAAGTAGGAATGATGTAGCCAATTTCACTGTTTTTTTATAATATCAAGTGACGGGACTAACAAGTCGTGCACCTGATGGTAAGCTACAACCCTGTCCATTACAGTTGCAGTGCCACTCGGAGCTTTAAATCGCAAAGATTTGAGGGGCACTGCCACTGCGCCCGTCACCTTGAGGCATAAGTTGACAAGTCCTATGTGCCTGTAATTTCAACCAGTACCCGTACCTTTCAAAACCGGAACCCAGTAATGCTGACATTACTGCTTGGCGGCAGAAATGGGTAAGGTGGCAGTTCAAAATTTAGATTTGATGATTATTATGATGATGATTATTCTCTTGGACCGTCGACATGTGTCTAATAAAAGTTGTTCTTTTTCAGCTATGCGAAAGTCAAGATGGTTCCTGCGCAACTGCAATCGATGGGTTCTACATAGAGACAGCCATCTGTTTAGTGGTTGGCGTTCTCTGGTTACAATGGGGTCGGCCGACAATAAATCGATTACAGCGGTTGCCTACGTCCGCATGGCAAATTAATAGATTCAATAGATAAGACTGAAAAATCTCGTAGTAAATTTTTATTTTACAAGTTGACCAGTTAATACGTACTATTACATTCCCCTGCTATTAGCTCGGGATTTGGCAGAAATCTAGATAAAATTCAATCTATCCTGTGTGTGTCTAATCCGTGTGTAACTATATACAGGGTGTCCCAAAAATAACACGCCAGAGCGACACTGTGGGTAGGTGAGCTATATACCTACCAGAAAAAAATAATTTGACCTTAGTAAAAGTCTTTTAGTTTTCGAGATATTTGCACTTTTTTATTTCTTTGGAATAACTCTACTTTTTGTTGAGTTTTTTGCTACTATTGCCAGGGTTAGCTCCAGATGGTAGTTGTTTTTATTTTTCAGGTAACCTGAATAGTTTTTCCAGGTACTGCAACTAATATTTTATCTGATAAATGTCATAAAATGTGTAAAAAGTTATTAATTTGGTATACCTCGTACCCTTGTAAAAAGTTAAACGTTAACTTTGAATAGCTAGTGTGAAAAAATAATGTATGAAACTGAATTTGCAAGTGATCCTAAAAATTGCTCCACTTAATGCAGAATCAGGAATGGTACAATATTATTGAGATTTTTCACAAGAACATAGTCATTTAATTTATTTTTCGTCATAACACCCTACCAGCCTAATCAGTTTCTAAACAAAATTAAATTTAAACTTTTAAATGAATTAAATGCTAAGCGCTAGGTGACGGCGCATCAATCTTTTTCCCACGTTGTATTCGTAATAAAGGAGTGAGATAGTTACTAGGCTTTTCTTTCTCTCTCTGAACTGATACAAACAAACTGTGACAAATCAAACTTCCCAAAAGCATGCGGATTTAGATACTAATATCGTGGTAGAGTGCCTTTGTGTGTCGCTTGATTTGTCGCCGTTTTTACTTAATGGAAAATAAAACAATAAAATTTAAATAATTTAATTTTTATTAGATATTATAGCAATTGTTCAAACTGCCTCCCTCTGAGTCTAATGCACATGCGACATCTTTTGACGAATGAGATTCTCAGACGCCTCAAACTCATTTGAGAAATTTCTCGAGCTGCTTCATAGACTCGTCGTCGTAGTTCGGTTTCTGTACTGATAGCTTTGGAGTAAACTTTATCTTTTAAGCACCTCCAACAGAAGAAGTCGAGGGGGTTCAGATCAGGTGACCTCGGTGGCCACAAAATTGGTCCCAATCGGCCAATCCATCTTCGTGGGAACGTCTGGTCGAGGTGCGTTCGGACGTCGCGAGCGTAGTGGGCTGGACACCCATCATTTTGAAACCACATTCTTCTTAATAATGCTATTGGCACATCTTCGAGAAGGTTTGCCAAATGGTTTTGTAAAAACTCTAAATAATTTTCGCCATTTAGGCAGTTCAACTGGACCAAATATTTCCCCATTGAAAATTCCGGTCCATAAATTAATTTTAAACTAGTGTTGGGACCGATCTTCTCTTTTCTCGTGCGGGTTCTCTAACTGCCAGCTGTGGATATTGTGGAGGTTTACATAGCCATCTCTGCGACATGCTGATTCATCACTCCACAAAATCGTATTAAATAAGTTGGGGTCTTCACTGTGCTTTTGAAGCATTTGTTGACAAAACTGTACGCGCTTAGCGTAATCGCTCGGCAGTAAAGTTTGAACTCTCTGAATATGGTATGGGTGGTATCGGTTTTTTAAAATTTAAAATTCGTTTTAAAATTCGCTGTGCCGTAGACTTTGAAATGCCAGGCGAACTGAAGTGGACGGATCTCTTGACACTTCCTGCAAAACTATTTCGTCTGCGACGGTACGAGGTCTGCCTCCACCACGATGGCCAGGGTTCCTACCCTCTCTGTATGCAGCATCAACTCTTATTATGGTCTCATGGGTCGGTGGCCTACGGTTAGGAAATCTTACCGCATACAATCTTGCTGCTAATTGCTATTCAAAGTTAATGTTTAACTTTTTACAAGGGTACGAGGTATACCAAATTAATCACTTTTTTCATAGTTTATGATATTTCTCAGTAAAATATTAGTTGCTGTACCCGGAAAAACTATTCATAATACTCGAAAAATAAAAATAACAACCATCTGGAGCTAACCATGGCAATAATAGCATAAAACCCAACAAAGATAGAGTTTTTGCAAAAAAATAAAAAAGGGCCTATATCTCGAAAACTAAAAGACTTTTACTAGGGTCAAAATATTTTTTTCTGGTAGGTATATAGCTCACCTACCCACAGTGTCGCTCTGGCGTGTTATTTTTGGGACACTCTGTATAATTTTTATATTATATGGAGCAACTTTCGATCTGTGCCACCGTGACGTCTTTGATTCGCATATACATGATAAAAAAACCACTGACCATTTTAAAGGAGCTTACTGTATAATGGAAATAAAAAATACGTATTCGGTTTTTTTTTCAAATACTTAACATATAAATAGTTATGACGTCTCAAAGTTTTCCGAAAAATTGTGAACAGGATTGACTTATTGCTGTCACAACAACGGTGTGGGGCAGTGGCCGGAGTCAGCGCGCGTGTATACGTATTTGATGACAACAAAGTTTAGTACTTTGTAACTAACGCGCGATGCGTAAGCGCATGTCTGTAGTCGCACGGCGCAACGTGCTGACGCCTAGGCATCTGGACAGCTCGGCGCCGATTGTTCTATTTTATTTACTATTTTGAGGTAACCAAGCGTTATAAATTATTGGGGAATATTAACATAAAAAGTGGGGATTTTTGTTTTATTTCATTAATGTGTTCTATTACTGAATCTTATGCACTGGACAAAAAAAATGGTTAGTAATTTTTTTATCAGTCTGTAACTATATTTAAATTTTTGCGCCATTTAATGTATTACGCACAAATGTTCTGAATAGCCATGCTGTTCTAATAGACGATATTATCAAAGAATTATGTGTGTCTAGAAATAAGTAATGTGATAATTGATTGAGTAGAGTATAATATATGATTTCTCTTCGGAATAGTAATGTTCCATATATTTTGTTATGAATATTGGTACAAAAACCCCGAGGATTTTACGGGTATTTATTTGTATTTATCTATGAAAACGTAAGGTGTATTGTGATACAGGGAAAGGAAAGTCAAAATGCGTTCATTATAATTTCATTATTTACACATCAACACTTAATAAAATGTACAGGTATATAACAATGAATCTAATATAAATACTACATTAATATATTTTTTTCTGTAAACAATCCTATTGACATAATAAACATTTACGCGTAAATAATCAACAAAATAATGCTATCGAGTTCTTAGGTTTTCGAGATTGTTACACAAAGGAAATGAAACTATTTTTCCGGATTTAAATCGCGTCGGTTTTCTTTGAATAAACAAATATCGCGATTTAAATCCGGAAAAATAGTTTCATTTCCTAAAAATAATGCTATTTTAAGATCTGTTTACGATAGTATAAAACGTTCAACTAAATTAAACTAAACACAGCTTTGCTGAATGTGACAATTTATTAATTATTGTTTAAGTTTATTTGCTCAAATTTACAACATTAAGCAAAATAAATAATCTCTTTTTGGAAGAGCGATATTTGTTAAATTATTAGTTTCACAATCAATTAATTTGTGCTTAAATCATAATAGTCGAAACAAAGCCACACTTAAAATGTCTAAAATATCGTAACTAATATTTTTGTGCTCTAATAGACGTTTAAGGGTTAATTACATTTTATAACTAAGTATACTTTAATTATATCAGTATTTAATTTATTTATTGAATGATTGGTTGTTTAAAGCGATTGTCTTTTGTTTATCTTCAAACACTTAAAAGTGTGGAAATGTTGTCCCAGGGATAAATGTTTACATTCATATTTTAATTGACCCTGTTATTGCTACTCTGGACCTTTTAAATAAAATAATTAATTTTATGTACTGACCTTATTCTTTTTTGTCCGCGTCTTGTCCACGCAATGGCAAATACAGTTTAGAATCAATATAGCTATGTTTCTATAAACATTAAATATAGTCTTTGATCTAAATATCGATGAAAATTGAGCACAAAGTCCAGATGTTGGTTCCGGTAAATGCTTAACACCATTGCGTGACAATTCATGATTACTTGTAACATGAAATTTCCCTTCAGCCAAAATTTAAAAAAATACAAATGGCGGCAAAAATCTTGATTTTATTAAACAAGAAAATGTAATAAACTATTGACTGTTGATGACCGATTGGAGCTGCAGTTGTTCATCCTTAAGAATGTTCCTTAGCGTAAAGGGCATCTAAATGTATTGGAACAATCATGTGATCCTACCCCGCCCTGAGATCGTGACCGTCAGGATGGCTGGTCGCCTGTCGCATCTGGCACTGAGTGTATATTCAAGAATTGCTACCTATTTGCTACTATTTGCTACCTTTTCTAAGTAATTGCTACCTTTGATATATTCTGAAAAATAAAAAAGAATTGACGTTAGCCATTCTGGCGTTAGGATAGCTGGTCGCCACTTTGTTCAGCATGAAGGGAGCAGATTTTCCAGAAGTATGTATTACCAATAATTGCTACCTATTTGCAACCTTCACGAATTAAAGGTATACGCTTCTTATCTACATTAGTTAAAAAAACATAATCGATTGAAAATTTTACGAAGTGGCTGATTAAATTAAAAAAAGCAAACGTTTTTAATGCTTTATTGCCACAATACAAAGGGCAGGCGTTGGTACTTCTAAGTAAAATTTTCAATCGTTTATATTTTTTTAACTAATGTAGGTAGGAAGCGTATAAAGGCGTATACCTTTAATTCATGAAGAAAGCAAATAGGTAGCAATTATTGGTAATACATACCTCTGGAAAATCTAGTCCCTTCGTGCTGAACACGGTGGCGACCAGCCATCCTGACGTCAGAATGGCTGATCAATTTTTTTTTAATTTCTCAGAATATATCAAAGGTAGCAATTATTTAGAAAAGGTAGCAATTCTTGAATATACACTCAGTGCCAGATGTGACAGGCGACCAGCCATCCTGCAGGTCACCTCAGATCAAGTCACGGTCAATGTCAGGACGCCTTGAAATTAGACGCTTGTAGAAGCGCTGCAGCCGAGACCCTACTAATTTTCATTCAATATCTAGTCTACAAAAGTGGCGCGAGTGGCGAGACTGTGGCGCTGCAGCTGCGCTTCTAAATAGGGATGCACATTACGATTCAATTTTTATGAAGACCGATTCGATTGCATACGATCTAGCTATTTTTTGAATCGATACACTTCAATGCGATTTTTAAGCGACTCGATTCAAAATTAAGGCAAATCGAATTGTCTAGATCGTATTCATAATTTAAACGAAAGTCTCATTAATTATTTCGTCAAGTACAGAAACGGAAAATAAAGAGGAGGACAATGCTTTGGACATTAAGCTATATGACATTATTATTGAAAATTTTAATTAGGTGTAAAGGATTGGCATCTGTGAAAAGCAACAAAAATTACATATTTTTTTGGCAACTGAATCATGCAATAAAGATGTTTTATTTATTTTGAAATGATTTTTATGATATCGATTCAAGACCATACGATCTGATCTGTGGATCGATTCAGAGGCATATATATGATCTACCTATTAGGATGCATTATTTGGGAAGCTTAGCCACGTCTTCAGGTCGTCAATCCCACAAAGCCTAACAACTAAGGCATTTAACCAGTGCGTTCTACTAATTATGTTCTACGTAGCCGACACGTGGACATTAACAACAGGCCTCATCCACAAATTCAAGGTCGCGGTTTCTCTGATGGACCAAATCCCTAACAAGAGAGATAAGATACGTCAGAGAACTAAAGTGACCAGCATAGCTCGCAAAATTGGTAAGCTTAAGTGGCAGTGGGCCGAGCATGTCTGCGGTAGGGTGTAGGACGCCCTGCGGCAAGATGGACGGACGACTTGAGCAAGGTGGCCCGCAGTGGCTGGATGCGGGCGGCATAAGACCGGGAGAGTTGGCGTGCTCTAGGGGAGGCGTTTGTCCAGCAATGGATGCGTGTAAGCTGATGACGATTGGGATGCAAAAAAATCGAATCAGAGAAAAAATCGTGCATCCCTAATTTTAAATATTGTATAAAAATAAGTAGAGTGGCGCTGTAGCAGCGCCACAGACGCCACTGCAACGCTTCTACAAGCATCTAATTTGAAAGCGCCCTTATATTGCGCCCCTATCGCCGTCGCCAGCCGCCATTGTTATCAGTAAATCAAGATATTCGTCGCGACATGCCTCATTATCATCGGAGACCCAATTAACGAAGTACAACAATCATTTTAAAATCACGGTTCCCGTCGATTGAGTTCATCGTCGCATATGATAGGCTTGCGGTCATCACCCTTACTACCGCGACCTAAACGACCGATACGACGGGCAAGAGCGTTCGTTTTCTCTACTGCGCCCCATCCACCGCTATGTCCACCGCCACTTGCAGATCTCGACAGCAACCCGGTAACCCCCTCGCCTAGCTTACTGTGATGAATTCCGTATAAGAAGTAGAGAAGTAGGCCTGAAAGGAAAATAAAAAAGATAGGTTTAGATTTCCTTTGTAGCTAGGATACCCATCATACTTTTACGTAATTATATTATGCTAACTGTAGTTGCAAATCTAACTTTGATTTTTAACTTGAGCAAATCCAAAATCTGTAGTTCTAATTTAAGCAAATTATTCTTGAAATTGTCAAAATGATTAAACACAACAATATTAATTCGTATTCGTATTGTAAGTTGCATTATCATGAACGAATAAGAAACTTTAGGAACAGCTGGCAAACGTACTAATATTAGGTCTATCAAATCAAATCATAATATTTAGGTAGATACGCTCTTTCGGAACTCAATGTAGCAATAATTATCTTTAACTGGTCTACGGTATCCAGTGTTAATTGAAGTAGACTGGCGGATCCATCTAATGACAGTAATAAATCTACTCACCGAAAGTCATCCAAATAGCAAATCGTGCCCAAGTCAACGCGTTAAGGTTAACCATGAGTTCCACATTGAGCATCACGCTGGCAGCTGGCAGCAAAGGCACCCACGGCACTTTGAATGGAATGCGAGTGGGACTCTGCTGGTGCGCCCAGATTATTACCAAACCTAGAAAAGACAAGACAATGGGATAGATATATACAGAAAGTTAAATCTTGTTGGAACTGTGAACCAATTGTTGACGTTCCTAAAAACATGTGGAAAAAAGGTAATGGGATCTGTTAGACCGAATTATGTACCAGTTTATACGTAATATAAAATAAAAGGGTTATCGTCCTGCGCTGTGACAAATGTATCAAAAATTTCTTACATAGCATCAAAAGAACATATAAATACGGGATGAGAATAAAATAACTTACAAGCAAAAATTATAAAACTGAGTATAATGTCCGGCAATAGCGCCCATAGTGCTACATGTTCTGCGAGGAAGTGGTTGTGAGCGCAAAGGGCGGCGGCTGCTATAGTGAAGGTATAAACGCAGCCAGTCACCGCTGTACCAGGTGCCCTGCCCCCTGCTAAAGGTTCCAACCACGCGTATTGAGCGCGGAGACGACCCACTGTTAAAGCTTCGAACATCTGGAATTTATGAACAATCATTAGGTGCGCAGTTATGATTCCAAATCTGTTTGTTTTTCGTTTATTTAATCAGGTTTGAACATGTTAAATATTTACTAACACTTACTTCCGAAGAGGAGGATCCTCCATCAGTACCTGGCGTTCCTGTCGCGGAACTATCTTCTCGATCACCAGGTGATTCCAACGGAGGCGCTCCGAAACTGCTATCGTCCACAGTTTGATTTGGTCTATATCGCAATATTATAACAGCAGCGCTGACAATTGTATACGCCAACAAAGTCCCAATGGACATAAATTCAACCAGTTTCTCCAAATCAAAAAATAGGGCTATTAGAGCTGAAGAAAAACCAGCTATTATTAGATTACAAGTTGGTATTTGTGACTTGTTATTAACGTCGCTGAGGAAGCCAAATAACAAACCGTCGGCAGACATAGCGTAAAGACATCGAGGCAGGGAGAATAAAGAGCCGAGCAAGGTGGTTGTCATGCCACACACGGCACCAATGGCCACAGCATATTTAGCCCAGTCCGCATGGACTGCACCCAAAGCTGCCGGCAGTGCAGCTTCAGGATTTATAGTTTGATAGGGTACCATGAGAGTGAGTGCTATAGCAACCAAAATGTAACCAAAAGCAACCAGCGCCATAGATAAAATTGTTGCTATCGGAATCGAACGAGTAGGATCTTTAGCTTCTTCGCTTGATGCAGATATGCTATCAAAACCAACGAACGCATAGAAACAGGTAGCGGCTCCAGCCAAAACCCCGCTAAAGCCATATGGCATGAAACCACCGTTCTTTTCTGACCAATTTTCTATATCAGCGTAGTAGAAGCCCAAGATTATGACGAGTGTAATCACAAGAAGATTTAGAATAGTGAGACCGTTGTTAATGATAGCAGACGTTTTTACTCCTACTGCTAAAATTAAGGATGCTACGATACAAATGATAAAAGCTAGGACATCTGGATATCTGCTCAATAACGAATCGTGCATTTCTCCAGTAATTGAGATAGTAGCATTGCTTATGGCGCCGTCGACCATTGCGTCCAAATATCCTGACCACGCTCTGGCCACTGATGCTGCTCCTAGAAGTTAAAACAAAATAAAAATCAGTAGGTGTAGTCAGACGTAACTCGCAAATACCAAGAAGAAAACCACGGGCTGCAGTATGCAGATAATTACTTCATTAAAAGAAAATAATTCTTACCTATCATATATTCCAAGACGATATTCCATCCAATGATAAACGCCCAAAATTCCCCAATGCTTACGTATGTATAAGCATAAGCACTACCCGCTCGCGGTATACGTGTTCCGAATTCAGCATAACACAATGCAGCGAGGGTAGATGTTATGCCAGCGAGTAAGAAGCTGAGGGCTGTTGCTGGACCAGCCATGTGGCGCGCTACGGTGCCCGTAAGAACATAGATACCGGCGCCTACCATGTGACCTACGCCTGAAATGTGAGATGGGATAACTAAGTGAGAAGCCACAAACATTGTAAATTTGAAAAGTATGTAAAATAATGAAGATTAAAATTAATAAGATACTGAAGAAGATAGCCCCCTGTGCAGTACCAATATTTACCCTCACCAGCAAAGCTTGAATTAATAAAAAACACCACAATGTGAACAATGTATTGTCTATAATATTGACGAGTTGATTATACTGGTTTGTTGTTGTTGTGTAGTTGATTATATTTTATTTAAAGCTCTATAAAATGGTCTAGTAGTCATCTCCTTAAGACTGTAATTTTGGTTTCATCTCTTCTAATTACGAGTAAGTATGTATCAATAATGTTATGGGCTGTACTTTGGTCAACTTCTTGAATAGCAGCAACTTACACGAATTAAACAAACTGTCTAAAGCCGGATTTACATTTGTCTGACGTGTCGTGTCGTGACGCGTCAGAACGGTATCGGTCGCGATCACAGACCACATAAATACTAGTCGTGGTCGCGATATAAAATAAATCGCGACGGTAAAATTCTGGATCTTGTGTTGAGTTCACTAACGATTGTGAATGTAGACTTATCACAGAATCTACTTAGTAGGATTGATCACTATCATCCTAATTTGCTGATGAATGTTACAAACTCAAGTTGTCCTATTACTTTGCAAATGACTGATAGTACAGATTATAATTTTTACAAAATAGATTATAATGCTGTGACTGTTGACCTTGTAATGGTCAATTGGAACTGCGAATTTGACTACTCTGCTGTTGTAAATGAAATGGTTTCTTTATTTTGTGATGTGATTAAAGTGATCGTTAATAGTTTCCTGAGAAACGGACTACAAACAGTAAATATCCTCCCTGGTTCTCAAGAAGTCTTGTAAAATTATTAACTAGAAACTAAGTAATCCAAGCGAGAAACTCGATTACGACCTACTCCCTACACAATGTGATAAGCTACAACAGAATTGTTGCAAAAAGTAACTTAAAAATTCTAAGTTAACTGCCTCCGTGGCCGAGCGGTTACCACGCCGGAGTGCCACCGCAGAGGTCCCAGGTTCGATTCCCGAGTCGGGAGAAATACATACAAATGTATGGCCAACATTTATTTCTCTCGTGAATTTAGGTGTAATTTGTGGAGTTCTATGTGTGTCCATGGCACCCGCGACACAGGATTTTCCCCTAGTGCGGGGCTGTGTTGAGTGCGGGGCTGTGTTGAGTGTGTGCGTTATAAGTTAAGGATATTTAGACTTTACCAAGTTCTATGTGCTTAAATTCAATCACTACCAAGACTGGGCCCAAAAAAGCGAACATGTTTGCTGTCAATTTTTTATCAGTTCAATTGTGCAAAGGACAAAGTTGCCCAGCCCCCGATTTAATTTTGTTAACGTACTTAAAAAGCTCAAAAGATTAGATATGCAAAAGTGCATGTCCATACTACCGTCTACTACACATCGTCTTAAAAACTATGGTGGAATACCTTCCACCGTACTTTTTAAGACGATGTGTAGCAGTCCTAGTATCTCTTCTGACACAGATTGTTGACTGCTCTTCGAGAGATAGGTAAATTTCCTGATGTGTGGAAGAAGGCGAGAATTATTCCGGTTTACAAAAAGAAGGATCAAAAAGACACAAAATTACCACCCCATATCTATTATATCGTGTTGTCGACAATTTTTGAGTCTTTGGTTTATCCACTACTCTCGAGTCATGTCCAACACCGCAACATGGTTTTAGAAGGGGATTATCCGTGGAAACAAATTTGACTGCTTTTCTGTGGGATATTACTGATGAAATTGACAAAGGTAGACAAGTGGATACTGTCTACACAGACTTTAACACATTTGACAAATTCCCTCACTCATTATTATAGCTTAAATTGATGTAACAAGTCTTTACTGGATTAATAATTTCTGTCGCTAGCAATATATACATATGTATAACTATATATATATCGTAGCAGTACACCCCCTTGTGAAAGAGTTAGTTCCAGGGAAGTACTGCCACCTTACCTATTTCTGCCGCCAAGGATAATTGTGCTTATGAAATTACAGGCAGATGAAACTTATCAACTTACGTCTCAGGGTGACGGGACATAATATTAGCATTACGTGTTCCGGTTTTGAAGGGTAAGAATGCTAGTGAAATTACAAGCACGTGCGACTTGTCAACTTATGGCTCAGGGTCACGGGCGCAGTGGCAGTGCCCTTCAGATCTTTGCGATTTAAAACTCTAAGTGCACTGCAACTGTTATGAACAGGCGTGTAGTTTACCATCAGACGCACAACTTGTTCGTACCGTCACTAGATATTATAAAGAAAAAAAAACAACACACATAAAGTCCATTTACATTGACTGAAACGGGTTTAAGATAAATATGTTTCTGCAGCGCTTCAAACTTATTCACTCACCTAGTAATGTGATATCAAGAGTTGTTAGGCATCGATTGAGCGGGGTCTCCATCTCGCCGTAGAGAGGTTTGCGTCGGTTCATCTTGTGACAGAATCCCGAGAGTACATGGCCAAGGATTTTATGCCTGGCGCCAGGCATCCTGAAAATTATGACTTTATGACAAGTTTATTACACAAAAGCAATAACTTTGTAACTACTGTATTAATATGTTGGCCCTATTTCCACGATGATCCTTGTAACTTTATTATGTTTCTTGTTATAATTAAAAGGTAACTAGCATCAAGTTATCTAATTAATGTGCATAAAAATTTCAACCTATGATGTACCATTGGTTCTACTACATTCCTTTTGAAGTAAATTTGGTTAGAGACCTACCATCTTGAGGCAAAAGTGGTGTAACCCTATGAAATGCACATAAAAGATGCTGAAGGATAAAATTAGCTGAATTCGTTTTTAACCGACTTTAAAAAAAGGAGGAGGTTCTCAATTCGACTGTATTTTTTTGTATGTTTGTTACGCTGTAACTCCTAAGCTCCTAATATTTTGTGAACCGATTTTAATGATTCTTTTTTGTTGGAAAGAAGGCACTTCAGTATTGGTCCCATTTAAATATTCCACCTCTAAAGGTGGCAAACTTGGGGATGAATCCGGTTTCGCGCACTTTCCGGCAACCGATTTCAATAAAACTTGGCAAATAAGTAATTGTATTTGTAAATGTAACTAACTAACTTTTGGGGTTGGTTTTTTAATAGCTACAATCAATACATGTTAATAGCTTTTGAATATATAAAAATTATGTACTTTAGTATAATTTAAAGTAATATTGTAGAAAAAAAATTAAATGTGATTTACACCACTTAATTAAATAACCTCATTTGTTTATTATTTTATTATATTTATTTTCAGAAACAAAATTTTTGTGGCACATATTGTTACTTAATAAAATGTATGTCAAATATAATAATTTCTAAATTAAGAAAACTTTCATCTCAGGAATCAGTTATTAGTTGTTAGCACGAATTTTTGGTAGGTACATACATAAAAACAAACAAAAGTTTTGTTTAACCATTACTGGTAAGTACCTTTCGAGATGCAAAGCAGTAACAGGAGTGTTCTCCGTCTGGGGTCGAGTGGCTTGTACACCGAATTTCAGTTGGATAAGATCCCCGACCGGGTCAATGTAGAAACTAAGTTTTCTATACTGTCAGTTCTGGGTGTTTGTTCGTTGTTTTCGATTTCCATAACACAAGTTCTTTAATTACTTACTTTGGGATCAGAACAATGTATGTAACGCAGTCTAATATTTATTTAGTAGCGTTTTCTTTACAGTTAGAAGTACAATTTCCTAAGTCTAAACTTCGAAGCCATTCATATTTTACGAAAATACATGAATTATAATTATTATTGAGAAGTCTATAATTCGGTACAAGGTCAAATTAACCTTGTATCTGAGATCAAGAGTCGCATGAAAATCAAGTGGAATATTTGTTTTCATGATGAAAATTAGACCTACTATTTTTTGTCTAGTTGTCAACTTGGGGGTCCTCAGACTGTAGAGTCCAAAGTAAAGGCCAAAAATAATTTTTAACCCAAAAAAGTATGACATCAATAGTGGAATTGCATCAAATGTCCCATAAATATATACTTATTCTGCAGAATGTGGAGCTTATACCCTAGTTTCATTTAAAAATGTTAGAAAATTTTCTGTTTTGGGATAAAAATGTAAAATACTTACAGAATAATATAATTTCGACAAAGGAACTCTACACTCAGTTAGTAATTCATTCATGTTTTTCATTAATAAATATTATTATTAACTTAATTTGGCTGCATTAAAAAGCTAATACCTGCTATGGATTGCGTATTTATGTTATCTCTATCAAAACATGAAGAGTAAAAATTAATGTAAGCTCCTAACAGAATTTTGAACTTTTCCTAGACATGTGCAAATAATTGAACAGTCAATCCAGCACAGGTAACAATTTACTAAACGATAGAGACATTGTAAGGATAAAGTCTCATTCGACAGAAATATACACTTTTATTTTAAAATTACATATAACAATAAAATTATTCCACTAAGAATGAGCTACTTCAAGCAAACGTATTTATTATAAGTATACACCTTAAAATAAAATCGGGTATCCAAAGTAGTTAATACAATAACATTTGTTATCGTGCATATCGTTCATTTGATGTATATATATATTAATTAATCTAAGTGTTAAATACCTGATAAGTTAATCGAGTTCAGCTGACGATATTTTGCAAAGACTGCCCCACTAAATGGAGGTTTGTTTCAGGCTGGGTGCGCGCGCATCTAATCGATTTCTTTCAAACAACCTTATTTACATTGGGCATTGCAAGTGGAAACGTCAGAAAAATTGCGATGACGACTTCATTAAATCCTTCGCTGCATATTTAAACGGAATAAATATGTTTCATATAATTCAGAACTGGACAACATTTCAATATTATGAAAATAAAAAAAAAACTATGTGAGAAACGTAATTGCAACGTATTTATATTATTAACCTAATTTCTTTTTGTTCTTTGTAAGTAAACAATAGTTTAAGTAATATATTTATTAATGTTTAATTAGTCCCTAGTTCTCATTTAAGTTAATTGTAAATTCGTATGAGAATAAAGTTAAGTAAGTCTTAAACCGAAAAAAATTACATGTAATAAAAATGTATCTGGGTAAATTCTGCACAATGATAGATAATATTAAAAATTATATTTCAGGACGAATTTTTGAAATTTATTTTAGGGTTCTCTTACTTCGTACGTTTGAGCTAATTATATTTACTTCTTGTCAATTAATAAGTAACAGAACCATAAAATTACTACTTTTGAAAATATTGTGGGGCTGCATGTTATACACACATCACACAATATCTGTGATTCATCACAAAGTCGAAGCAGGTTTAGATCTGTCAGATAAAACTACAAGAATGCATATAAGGTTGATAGTCAGACTCATGACAGACCCCACAAACCCTTCTCCCGTGAGGCTGAATAATTCACGTACACACAGTGTTTTAAACGCCAATTTTGTAATATGTCCTTTTTCTTCCAGACTTCTATAGTTTGAACTAGGTAATGCAAATGCAGAGTAGAAGACCGCACCGGACAAATATACGTACCTATTATTATAGTTTCAGAGAAAACATTTTTTTTATTGAGTAATTTTCGCCCGGATAAACATGTAATAAATCATATTTTATAATAATCCACTCGGCTTTTCGCGAGCTCGCCCATACGGTGCGTTTGACATCACGGCTCGTGGAAACGCACCATTAGGGTAGAAGGGTAGAAGACAACTAAAGCAACCGCTGGTGTACTAATCTCGAAGTAATACGGCGGATTTTTGAAGAAAAAAATGAAAACGGAAAAAATCATATAACTTAATATCGTGTAGCACAGTGTTATACTAGTGACAGTATAACACTGTATTCTGACGTTACGCAGGCAAGATTTCCTTCTAGGGCAAATAATATATATAGCGGAAAGTGGGTGAAATCCAAAAAAACCGGATTCATCCCCTAATTTGTTAGCCTTGGAGGTGGAATATTCTCTTGAAATTTTAATGGGGCCACTCCTGAGATATATTCCCTTTCCAACAAAATAAGAATCATCGAAATCGGTCCACAAATTTTGGCGTAATCGCGTAACATATACAAAAAAATACAGTCGAATTGAGCACCTCCTCCTTTTTTCGAAGTCAGTTAAAATTAACTTTTTTTCTTAAGAGAACATCGCGCTTGAGGACTTTGAACACCGCCGTAAAGTTGCCTGCTTATCAGTATTGTATTATATACTATATATATATTTAAAGCACGGAGAGTATGAGCTGGAATTGCATGATTTCATTCCACCTTTATCCGCCCACTTCATCATTGTGGGGCTACGTCTAGCCAGACGTAGGCTGAGGTTCCACGCCTGTGTTGTGGATATTTCAAAGATTCGCACGAAGCGTTTCGCTTCCACATTTATATGGCGAACAGCTAAGGAGTGGAATTCCCTGCCTGTAGACTTGTTCTCCGAACGCTGGACCTTTTCAAGGCGTGAGTGAATAGGCATTATTTAAGTGTGCATGCTACATCGTTGACCTCAGAGTAGCTTTGTATCAGATGAGATGGAGGTGAAATGCGTACTTATTTTCTTATAAATCATAAAAAACTTCTGACCGAACTTATCGTATTCATGCCGTATAGAGTTAAATTTCAATCTTAACTCTCAAGTTTGACGTACTCTTGACCCTTTACAAGGGCACCAAAATAGCACGTTTATAAATAGGAAAATTCATTTCGACGACGATACTGAGTAATAATACTCGCGCTTGTTTGCTAAATACATACATGTATATGACCTCTAAGTATATTGACATAGCGGAACGTGCCATGTCAACGTACATTTCTTTATGCTATTTTATTTACAGTGATTAAATTTTTTTGTGATTTATTTATAACTATGATTTTAACCCACTGTCAGCATGCGAATTTGATATGGGATATCTTCAGCACGATTCACTACCGATGGCGTGTTCAATTTTAAACAAATGAATGAATCAAGTCAATCGAAATATAATTACTACATTAAAGAACTCAAAAGTTGCCTAATGGACGGCGCATTAAAGTAATGACGTACTAATTACAGACATTTAAAAGTAATTTCAGGGATAAGATTAACTACATTTTTAAGCAGCTACTTTTTTAAACAATTGTTACATTGTGCACTTAGGTGTTAAATTCAACGCTCAACTGTTAAGGTCAACGCTCGTGACCTCTCAACCTCGCAACCTCTATCTACCCACCCCTAGTTTCGTTAACGATCTAGTTTTTTTTAACCACCGACGGAATAACTGGGGAGTTATATCGATGGTTTAAATGTCAATTGATGTAAGTTTTCAGGACATGCAAAAAACTATTTTTTTATAAAAAAAAATCCTAACTTGTTAAATTTTCTACCTTCTGCTATGGCGTTAAGGAACAAAGAGTCGATAGCAATTGGTAGAAAATGAAACAAATTGTAGATTATTTTTAATAGTACACTTCAATTGACATTAAAGCGTGAAACACACAAAGAGTGGGTCGAGTGCGGGTCGGGTCTTCTCTCGCCGCGCCCGCGGTCCCGACCCGCACCCGCTCTCTGTGTATTTCACGCTTTAAACTATCGATATTAGAAGTCTTTGTCTGTGTCATCGGATCGTCCAAACGGATGAACTGTGCCTTTGCCATGAGTTTACAGTGACAGTTTACATAAAATGCTTGTATACAAAATGTTGTTTCTTCTTGTGAGCACTATGGGCGCTGTATAATTTACCATACAAAAGTGTGAAGTAATTTACGCAGGCGCTAGCGACAATTGTCACAGTTAAATGGTGGTAGAGACACTGATCTCAAAACGGTTTTTTTAAACGTGTTTAGCTGTTTTCTCAGTTAGTGTAGGGATCTCAGTCATAAGATTAATAAATAGGTATTTATGTTATTTCCACGAAATCGATTTAGTACTTTTTTTTAATTTTAATTAGACTTGCATTTGGTATATTATGGAAATCTGATGATATTACAGTAATTTGATAACCTAGATCTAATGTTGCCACCAGGACAGTCTACGGGCTACCCAACTCCTCAACAACTTAACAGTAGCACTGTCGTGATTGAGCTCATTAATTTGGTCTGGACGAGCTGACAGATTGTGCCTTTATAGACTTTTTGAGTTCACAAGGTGTTGTATCAGTGTTTTTTTAAATTTATAGCTAATGCTTCATTGTTAGAAGAAAATAATTAGAAGCGTGTACCCCGGGAAAAAATAAATAGTGGAACAAAGAAAACGTGAGAATATAAAATAGTAAAGCTCATACACTTTTTTTTATAATATCAAGTGACGGGACGAACAAGTCGTGCGCTTGATGGCAAGCTACACGCCTGTCCATAACATTTGCAGTGTCACTCAGAGCTTTAAATCGCAAATATCTGAGGGTCACTGCCACTGCGCCCGTCAACCTGAGACATAAGTTGACAAGTCCCATGTGCCTGTAATTTCGCCAGCACCCTTACACTTCACAATCGGAACGCAGGTTGACGGCAGAAATAGGTAAGGTGGCAGAGTACTGCCACCTTACCTATTTCACCTTACCTATTTCGTCCAGGGAAGTATCCCTGGACGAACTCTTTCACAAGGAGCTCTACGGCTACGAAAATAAATAAGATAAATATAACCTAAAGAAATAAGAATTAGACATAACGTATGATAGTAATTAAATTAAAAAATTTTAACATCGACTTACTACAGCCTTACTCAACATAATTGAAAAAACCGAAATTATACAAAATGCGTTTTTTTTTTCGATTTTGTGTCAAAGAAGAAACTGTTGAAAATTTAAAAATTGCAATAGTTTAATATTGATTAAATCAGAGTCTTAATCAGCCGTGGTAGCCTAATGTAAAAACCATTAGGTGATAGGTCAAAACCTACCGCCTGTCAGCCAGTGGCCGTAGGTTCGAATACTCGCACCTCTGAGTTATTCGGAATTTGGGTGCGTAATTTAATTTAAAATTTACCATTACGAACCAGTTACTAAGTGAAAAAAAAAACTTTTTTCAACTGAACTTTACGTACAAAACGCAAAATCAACCTCGAACCACTCGACAAACCTTAAAAAAAGGTTTAAACAAATAAATAAAAAAATAACAGTGTAGACCGTCAACTAATTTATCTCTGTCCTTGTGTAGTATTTGTTGGGTAGGCTATGAGTGTTACTGTTGAGTATCGTTTTATATGTGTAGTTAAAGCCAGCTGGCTATGAAATGGTAAAGGAAAGCTGTAATCTATTACAAACAACACAATGTTCCTACCTAGCAGCCTAGCCCTAATCATACACTACTATATTTATATACGTATATCATTATAGGAACTGTTGCCGTGCGACCTAAAGTAACAGACGAAGGGTGGGAAGGATAAGGGGTGCAAAGGAATGGATTTTCTCACTGCCAGTCTAACAGACTTACAAGACTGATCAGATAGGCTAACAGCTAAAGGTGTCTTGGCTGCAGTGAGAGAATGCTGTAGTCAGGAGAGTTCCGTCGTCAATGAGCGTTGATGACTGGATTGAAAGATACCTTTATTTTTAAAAACTACACTATTTATACAAACTCTACATACCTACATGTGTGCGTGTATATTACAATATTCTTTTTAAATGTAAAATAAAGGAAACGTCTACTCAGCAGGCTGGTCTTGCACATTGTTATTCGGTCCGTGCAAATGTATGTCCGGTCAGGTTGTTTGTTCATGTCACGAACATGTGAA